ATTCAAAATCTACTGCCATGATGATGCCAGCATCTTTTGTGCTGTTTAAATGTTCAATAACATCGTACAATAAACGAGTATTTTCACCTATGAACCTGCCAGGGATATACGCTGTTTGGGTGGGCGAAACTATTGTGTGAATAACCGTTTTTAATCTGTTCGTAATTGCAGCTGAAATTATCTTGAAGTCAACGTTGAGGAGCGATATCGGTCTCCAACCTTTTGGAGAGTCTGGGGCGACGCCGGGCTTGGGAATGAGAGTTACAATGCTTTCATTATGAGTAACCAAATTTTTATTCTCTTGTAATCTTTCTAACCAAGCTCTGTACAGAAAGCAACCAATATATGACCAGAAATGTTTGAAGAAGTCGGCCGTAAAGCCAGTGGCGCGGGAACTTCTTCCAGACTGGGGGGCTGAACCATCATAGAGATCAACCTAGGGTACCCCCAAATCTAGTTTTCTCATCGGTTTTAGCCCACTTATTTTTCAGACCTTGGCCTTTTCAACGAAAAAAAAGAAGAAAATATTTGCAAAAAAGTGAGATAGGTATTCCGTCTCAGCTGAGTGAAGAACTACCGTTTTGGCAACCTGGAATAAAGGTTTTAAGCTGCCAAATGAGTTGCCGAGTCAGTAAAATAGGTAGATTTTTTCACTTACATGCTTTCTTTCTTTGTGACTCACAACCCCTAATTTGGGGAGGACAAGCTGCCCCAACGGTTCCTGGCCTCATAAAAAGATGTGAGGCACCGCCCCCACGGCTCCAGAGTTGTGAGGGCAAGCTTCCCCCACTGCCCTCTCCCCCGGTTCCCGCGCCCAAGATTACTTTCTCGCGCCTATGTATGAATCTATGAAATTGTGTTGGTAGATTTCCGATTTCGATTCCTCCAGCTGGGGGGCTCAAATACATTACGAGCCCCCCCCCCCCAGCCGAAAAGTTGGAGGGGCTCAGCCCCCCCCCCCCCCTAGCCCCCCCGGTTCCCGCGCCACTGCGTAAAGCCGTTTGATCCTGGTGTTTTACCACTCTTCTACTCTTATACTTTTAGGGCTAACTGCAGTTCATTAAAGGATATTGGTTCGTCTAACGCACGACTTTGCTCGTTTGAAAGCTTACATGTTATGTTGTTTTGTAAGTATTCATTAGGGTTGGCATTGTTACTGTTCTTACTGTACTTATTTCTCAAGTTATCTGAAAAATATTTGAGTATCATTTCTTTATCAGTGATAACACCGTCGTTCGTTTTAAGAGCATTAATTGTTTTTTCTCGTTGAATTTCTCTTTTCGAGTGACAAAAAGTATTTCGAGCATGTTTCGCCTTCTTCATGCCAGTTAACCTGGATCTAGTAATGTGGCCCTGAATTTTTGGTTTACGCAGTTCTTCCAGAACCTTTTGTTTATCTTCTAAACGTTTAAGGATTTTCTGGATTCGGATAATCGTTTAGCGATTTTCGGATTGACATTATTTCATTGCAGATTTTTGTTTCCTTTTCTCTGTATTTTCGAGCCCTTTGCTTGATATTTCACAGTTTCCCCGCGAATTAGCATAAGTAACGTTTCATAAAAAGATTATCATTTATTGTAAACTGAATTGAATTCGACGTTAACTGTATCAGACATGTATTTTTCCGAATAGACCGGTATTGCATACTGACCAATTACATTCACTATTAGATCTTTGACGATTTTGTCATACGAAGCATCTGCAATCAGAGGCCTGTTTTCACTAAAAACTTGTATTTACAAGTGTTTGTAGTTTACAATTCATAAGTATTTTTACCAACTACGTAAAAACCGATTTCACTAAGCTTCATCGCCAGTGGCACCTCCGATAAGAAAATGTTTGCAAATAAACTTGTAAACAGTAAAAAACAGTAAAAAGTTTTCTAATCAAACTATAGCATGTTAAAGATACTGCTTCTTGTATCAAATATTGTCTAGTATTCATGTCAAAAGTTGCCTAATTAAATTATATTTAATGATGCTGTTGGAAAAAGATATAAATGATAATTCACATTGTCCATTATTGTAAAAAATAACACGCAAAACATTGACAGCAGAAGACTGTTGAATGCAATTATGGCGCGCGATGACAAAACTTGACGATATTTTAATACCGATTATTTTGCTTCTTAATGTGTGTGCTAAGTGAAAATTGAGCATGAAAGACTCAACAAAGCATAGTTGTTCTAAATATATGACTGTTTTTGCATTATTGCACAAAAGTATCAAAATTCCGAACGTCAGGACCACTGGAATTTCAGGTTTGTAATTACGATGTTTCTTTCAAGTTTTTGGTCTTCGTGAAACAGAAAGTTTGCGATTCCCATGTTTTCCGAGCAAACTTTTTCTTGTAAAAAAGTTTGCAAATTTTAAACTCAAAATTCATGTTCAAAGGTTTCGTGAAATCCAAATCTCAAATGTTGGTAATTATTTCTTGTAAACTCAAGCTTTTTCTTTGTAAATACAAGTTTTATTTGTTAGTGAAACAGGCCTCAGAGAGTCGTTAAACTTCCACAAGCGCGGGCCTCTTCTCCTTTGCGGAACATAGTTATGTGTAAGGTAATCATACTGTGGTTCTGACGATAGCCAGGCGAGCATGGAACTCGAGACTGGCAATATTTCTGAGGTTGGTCGCTAATAAAAAACATATCTAGGTCGTCAAATTTGTGAGATTTTGTTTAGACCAAGGTAAATGCCTTTTTATTCGGGTTCAGCTCGATCCATGCGTCAATGAGCCCGTGCTCTTCTATTGTTTTTACGAAAACATCCTCGCTCTTGGGTTATTCTGCCTGTGATAATTTGAGTCTCGCTGGACTTGAGAACGAAATTAAAATCGCCACCGATGATTAGTTGTCGTTTGAAAGTCATTTAGACGCTGATTAATGCGATAAAAAAATACTGGCTGGTCGTCATTCGGACCGTAAATGTTGATGAATGTAAAAGTGTTTGCAAATATTGTGCAAATAAGTATGCAAAGTTTCCCTTTGGGCAAAATTCCTGGTGTTTTATGCTTCGTATTGGAGCCTGGGGCTGAATAGAACCGATGTACCTCTGCTATTAAATGTCCAAAAGCATGATAGCCTTTCATGCCCATAGGGTTTTAAAGGGCATATTCATTACGTTTGGTTAAGTGAGTGTCTTGCAAAAATATATATCGTAATTAAGATTTCGCAAATAATCTAACACGTCACGCCTCTTCTCCTGGCCTCCTAACCCTCTGCAATTGAATGACAGGAACTTTAGAGCATCATAGCATTTCTTTTTTGGAACGCTGAAAAGGAAGCGGGGGCAGGAGTGGAGGGATAATACCGTTTTGTCAAGTCACAGAACGTGATCGTGATTTTATGAGTTACTGCGCCAGAAAGCAGCTCCTGCGCCACCGAGGCCGCCGCCGCCACCGCCAGCTGCGCCGAGACGAGCACCACCGCCAGCTGCGCCGAGACTAGAGCCGCCGCCAACAGCACCGAGACGCGCGCCGCCGCCAACAACGCGAGGACCAGCGCCGCCGCCAACCACGCCCGAGGCAGAAGAGCAGGCGAGGGTTGTCGTAAGTCGAATTCCTGAGGAACAGAACATACAGAACGCGAGAAGACTCGGAAAACGAGGAAAGAACGAGAATGAAAACACTATCTGTATCGACTGGGAATTCGATTATGTTTGGTTGTTTTTGGACGCCTGGATGAACTGGAACACTGTTTGCCACTTGAACGGGATTGACTCTACAAAACGATACACATGTGCATAATATCCATCAGTCGCTGTAAACATAACGCCTTTTCTCGATTCCACCTTCTAAGAAAATGCTAGAGACTCGAAGCAGAGCCAATTTTCCCTGTATCAGTTTCACCGCGGATGTGTATCGCCATGCTGTTTTCCCGTCCGTCCGTCTATCCGTCGGTTCCGCTCTCATCCGCCCCCGTCACGGTGTCGGCAAACACCTGTCTGCCGCGGGGGCGGGCCGGCCGGCCGGCCAGATTGTGTGGCGCTCCTGGCGGGCCGGCGGCACGCCATCGTATCACACCGGCACGAAAACAGCGTCCGGCGCCGGACAGAGGCCCTCACTCTGACGGGCACTTCCCACGGGAGCGGGCCAATCGCTGCAGTGATCGGGCGCGCCGCCACACCGGCCGGCCACCGAGGCACGCCAGCTCATACACCGCGCCGGCCGGCCACCAAGGCGCGCCTGCAGCCCATACACCGGGACGACGGGGCTCAGCGCAGGGGGAGGAGGGATTTAACATTTGTTGGCTCAATTCGTATCGAACTTTACCTTTTGTTATCTGGAGAATTATGTTATGGTAAGTGAGATTGGGTTAGCGTCTAAGACAACGACGACAACCTTATGTATATCAGTAAAAATAGTACGCTAGGCTGCTAATGGTGTGGTATTGCTTGCCTGAGCTATATGAAAATAAATCCGGCGGAGATAGGTGCACTCACGGTGTATGTATATAAATATGCACACTGATGTCTCATGCCTACCAGTCTTCACCGGTTTGCTTGGGATTTGACCGTTTTTTTTTTTTTGCGTCAGACAGTGCAACCCTAGCTATCGCACTGGGCTGACATTCGATGCTTTCGGAAAGTTTGCGTGGAGATCGAGGAGCCTAAGTGAAAAACGTGCTTCAGGCAAGGGAATCGGTGAGGTAGTCTTGCAGAGCGCGTTGCCTTTGAAGCTTTGTGAAATGTTGGAAAGTGGAATACAGACAGAGTACTGCAAAGTTTCCCTAGCCTTGCTCTGTCACGTTGGTGCCATTGTGAGCTGAAAATGTACCCGAGCACATAGGTCATATGGAAGCTTTTGGACAGTACGTTCAAAGCGCCACTTTAAAAAGGAAAACTACATAACTAACTAAGCAAAACTATTCACCAGCACACCTGCCTCGCTATACAAGTAAATTAATATCATTGCAGAAAATAGGTCCTGATTCCTACCGGTCCTTTCCCCGACCAGTGCAGTGCCTGGTTCTGTTTTAACCAGCTGAATGCGATCTGTTTCAGGGATGAACCGCCACCACTATGCGCTGTTCATCCGCAACTGCCACCTGATCATGCTGCTGCGACGGGAGTACGACGAGGCCAACCTCAACACATTCTCACCGGCCGAGTGGCGCTGGCAGATCCCGCAGGTCAGTATCGAAAATCACCGCTCGTCTTTTTCGTTTGTTTAGGCGCTCGTTTTACTAGGCAAACTACTTATGTATGTGTGCTCCTTTTTATGTATTCGGAAAAGTGAGCATGGAGATGATCGCCTTTGCCTGAGAAGACGGGCAAAGCCGATCACCGGGAGGCAAACGACCGTCATTATCTGCTCAAAGCCGATCGGGGAAGACAGCTGCGAGCCGAGAACGTCGGTCTGTGGACTTACCCTGCGATCACCCGCCCTCCTCGGCCGACCGATAATGGCCCTATTGATTTCAGTTGTTGGATCAGGACATTGATTGTCCGTGTGGTGGACTGGTGTCGGGCTGCCGCTGCTGCCGTCCGGCGCTGTCCTTGTGACTGTGATTTGTTAGGCAACGTTCCCTGCAAACTCTGGCCAAAACCATTGTTTGTGCCGTGTCAGAAGGCAAAAACACTGCTGCCTTCTGTTCTGTACCTGTCTGTTTTGAATACTAACTCGGCTGAGTGGCACTTGGGTAAATACCGAGCACGCAGAGCGGAAATATTTCCAGCTATTTTGCTGCCTCGGGAGGGCAACACAAGTGTGTTCAGGCCGATTGCCTGTTGACATAACGCAGCCCGATGATTTCGTGGTCTGTTTTGTGGTGATGAAGGGCGCTGCTGGCCCGTGAAATGACCAGAGTGTGTGGCAGCGGCAGCGGAGGGGACCATAGCGGGGCTGAAGGTGGAGCCGACTTTTGTCGGTTTTGTCTAGTTCGCTCATGCTACGGGAAGAATTGTAGCGCGGAGCTTCGGAAGAGTTTTGTTATAACAGCATAGAGCTTGGTGTAACTGGGAAGAGGCATATCTTTGGTCAAGGGAGATTGTGATGTTCTTGGATGCCCTTAAGATTGTCTTCGCGGACCCAATTTACCTCACCAATTATCGTATACATTTTCACAATAAACTGCCTTCCTCCCTTTTATCCCCTCCCTCCGCCCTATTTCCAGCAATCACCCCGCATCCACTCGACCTACCGAGTTATCGACCTGACCCCTCGTCGTCTATCATGGCGGCGTGTGACGTCACAAATCACCTTTGTGACGCACATGGCGCCCCAGCGGCGAAATTAGCGCACCGACCTTTGGACCCTGGTGCAATGCCGATGGTGGTTTTTGCGCCAGCTGGTGGGTAATGTACAGGTAGATGGTTATGATACGGTCAGCGCTATCCTGTGATGTGTCATTTGGGAATTGTTTGGCATAAGGGATCCATGCTGATGTATGATTGTGACATGGCATATGGTGACGAATAGGCGCGGTATATAAGATATGTTCGACGGGTTTCGTAGCTGAATAACTTCAACCTGGCGTCCTTTGGGAATGTTTTAGTACCTTGTACTACCGTGCCACAGAGTGACGTTCCTAATGGTTTCTAACTTGTTTGCCTGGTGACTGAAGCGTAGGATACCAGTCATGGCGATTTTCGGCTGGCCTCTGTTCCCGTATCTCATGTTGAAACGACCCTGACTTCTGACCTCTGACCCCTAACTTGACCCCTGACCCCTGACCCCTGACCCCTGTTCTCTCCGACAGGTGTGTGACGACGAGTGGCACCACTACTCGCTGAGTATGCAGTACCCGGACCTCACCCTGACCGTCGACGGACGGCCCGTGTCCGTCGAGCCTCAGATGCACGAGGTCATCGACGACTGGCCCCTGCACTCGGCGCCCGACCTGTCCACCCGGCTGGCTGTGGGTGGCTGCTGGCAGGGTGAGTCTATTTGTGGGGAAAGTCACCTTACCTGTCCACTCGGCTGGATGTGGGCGGCTGCTGGCAGGGTGAGTCAGTTTCTGGGGAAATCACTTCACTGGACCTTTTGGCTGTGTTTCAACTTTGCGTAACTTAATGCCGACCAGTGTTTTGCGAAAAACGAATAGCGAAACTAAACTTCGTGGTATCAGTTCGTTTTTCTAGATTGCCTGGGCATTTAACTTCAATCGCTCGATACGTGTGTAAAATCAAGTCACAAGCCGTTCGTTTGCACGCTCCCATTATCCCTCCTCGTGAAGTGATCTGACCTCACCGCTAACCCTCCCCGTTTCGCCAGGCTCCGAGTCGCGGATGAAGCACATCTTTAACGGCTACATGGCGGGTCTGTCGGTACTGCGCGGCGCCACCGAGAAGGCTGAGGTGCTCTCCTGTCTGCACAGTTGCAGCGAGTCCCTACAGGCGCCCGACGTGCAGTTCCTGCTGCCCGGCATGGAGCTGCTCGCCAACAACGGTACGCCACAGATGGGCAGGTGTCAATAACGGAACGGTGGAGTAGGGGACGGTGGGGGTAGCGGGGAACGCGCTGCGGATATTTTTTAATCAGTTTAAATATTAATGCTTTAACTAGTTGCTGGTCTTTGCGCCAGGCTATTTATTATGCTTCAATCCATTCATGTTCGGTAATTGACCAGGCTGTAGCCAATGATCGATGTTTTGCAATCTGTGTGGTTCTTCAGTCTGGAAGTTTGCCACTTAATACGCTTTTTCTGGTGACTTTCACATCTATTTCCACTTCTCCTGCCGATAATACGGAGGCTGGGTCCGGCCAGCCAGCCGACTCGCAGGCCCCGATAAGAGACTCCGACAGAAGTTCTTTCGCTGGCTGCCAATTTGTTCCAGCTCAATGAATTAAATTCCGAACTTTTCAATTTGGCTCGATGGAGCGAAGGCAACTTGGGAGTCGTCTTTATAATTCCTGAAACAGACGTGAATAACTTCATCCTCGCCGCATTACTTATTTAGCATCTGTTTTATAAATTAAATAACAAAAATACCTTAAGACAAAGAGGTAGATGGAGCTTTTCCAGAATATTTCACCCACCTTTCGCAGAACATTTTGCCGAAATTTGACACGCATTCGGCGGACATTCAATCAGCCTGTGCGTCGCCGCCTGTCGGTGTCGGCCGTAAACCAAACACAGGCGGGAATTGAGCCCCGGGCCTGTGTGTGTGTGGAGGGGCGGGCGGTGATGGATCCGAAATGGGCCGTGGGTGGAGCGTGGCTGTGGTGGGCCGTGGGATGGTGGTAGAGTTCGGATGACACTGAGCCAACCACGAGATATGGTGTTCAGCCTCAGAATAATAGATAAATGTAACGTTAGACTCTGGAAAGGACTTATTTGCTGAAAAGTTAGTGGTTGTATGAATGATTTGATCATATGATGTTCGTTTAATTTTTATATATACTAATGTTGAAACGGTTTAATTTGTAGGGTTACTTTTATGTGGCCGTACTTGATCCCGTATGACCCCGTATGACCTCGTGTGACCTGTTCAACAGACATGACCGAGGTCACTGTGGAAGGCAGTAACCGCACCCACATCCAGAGCTTGTTCCGCAAGATCGCCTACGTCAACAGTCGCGAGTTCCCCACGGCCGGCCGGCGCGGCCTCAAGGTCATCACCAACCTCGTGTAAGTGCAGATAATCTGTCCACTGGTCCCATGTGATTCGGAAGCTGTGAAGCTAGTGTTGTGTGGGTTGGCGGCCAGAACCATCGTAGTATCTGGTGCTGGTGGGAGATGAATACCGAATTGATAGGCTTTGAATTGATCTCACTGTTATTGAGGGTTGCAGTTTGATTCGGTATGCTGTTTGATTTTTAATCACAATCCTGCTGGTGGTGATAGTTTTGCCCAAGGGAATTTTTCGAAAACTGACGTTATTTAGTTTCTGTATTGTTGGCTAAGTGGCTGGTAAATATTTAGTGGCCTTTTAGGAGTTTGCTTCCCTCAGCGCAGTGACCAAATTTATGTTGCCGATCATCATTTATTTCGCTTTATAGGCCGATTGTCGGGCAGTGTCATTAACTCCAGAGCCTTTGGCCGTGTAAGTCCCTCAGACGAAGTGCCGCTTAGTCAGTGAAAATGGCGGCGAGCCGAGAAAATCCTCCAATAATTCATTGGCGAGGGACGCAGTTCGGCCTGCGTCCGCTCAGGAGGACTGGTGTGCGGGTGTGATACGCCAATAACGACCCACCGAGTCAATGTATTGATGGCCGCCAATCTCTGAGGTTATGCCCATCAACTGAGCAGGCGCCAGCCGCTTAGTGCTTAGGTCTTGTAGCGAAGGCCGCCGGCTAAATTTGTGGCCAAAGGATCGAAGAGTTACGGCAAACACCGAAATATCGTCAGTAACCAAGCAGCTGGGACATACGGCTATTTTAGGAGGTTGCTGGCATTTTGCCGGTGTCAGTTGATGGGTTTGTTATTGTGTTCTGGCGCAGTTGGAGCCTGGAGGTAGTTTGGATTCGGTCTGAATCGCACACGGTGGTGGCAGTTGTTAATGACTTTATTATTGTTGCAGATAGAATGGGTGGCACAGAGTGGTTGAGCGGTCAGAGAAGGTGTTAGGCTAGCAAGCCTGACGTGCTTTTGATAGATGTCTTAGTTAACACAAACTTAACGAGTCGTTGTGGCATGTCGAAGTTTTGCTTTATCTGACACTACCAAAACGATCTCCATTATCAAATGAATACTGTCTAGGTATACCAAATAAAGATACCGCCGCTTACTGCGTCTAGCAACCAAGTTACAACAACGCCCAGAAGCATGCCTTACACCAGCACCCCCGCCTCTCTCCCTCCCTCAGCTGCACCAACGGCAAGATGGTGAAGATCCCCGTGGTGGACAGCTACGTCATCGTCCGTCAGCCTCGCTACCTGCACATTGCCGTCAACGGCACGGACAACTTCTCTGACGACTACGAGCAGCTCAAGACGGGCGTGTCTGTGTTCCCTGACATCCGCGTGCTGGCCGGCACCGACCAGCAGGAGATGAGCGGTAAATACGAGGACGGGACTGATGGGAATCTGGGGTGGGCGGGGAAGAAGGGAAGGTTGGATTATAGTGGATTATGGGATAAGACTCACAGGAGTCTATGAACTGGTTCAAGGCGTGGAAGGAAGATCTGAGGGCGATAAGTCTTCAACGTTTTTTGGTAGTTTTCACAGACAATTTGTGAGCGCTCGTGTTTGAACTGGGTCAAGCCGTTTTGATATACCAGTTTTACAGGCCTATGCTGCATGAGTACGGCTCCCAGTCCCACGTGCACCCTATTAACGGCCCAGGACCTTCGTCAAAGGTATAGAACGATGCCTTTTAGGGTCCGCCACATTATGCTCGCATAATTTCGTCTTGGAGTTTTCTCAGGCACCATTGCCTTTGACTAATTCAGCTAGTGTGCATCTCGCTGAATGGGTATTACGAGTATGTGACGTAGTATGCAGTTTAATGCCCGAGGTGTTCCCCGTCTCTGGAACAATATGACGTGCGTCACAGCCGGTGCTTATTAATACCCACGGGCCCACCGCGGCGGTCTAGGTCAGCCTCTATTACGCATTTCAACAAACCGATCCATCCCCCTCCCCTCCTGCACCTGTGAGGCCAAGCTTAGCACACGGCTCAAGAGAGCACCAGTAAGTTGAGCCCCTCGTCCCAACGTCCACTGGCAGCTCCTGACTGGCGTATTTGAACTGTCAAAATCCAGCCAGCACTCGCAGCAAACTCTGCCCGGCGGCGCCGGCCGTCGTCAGAACGCAATTACTGTCGTCTGGCGCGGGTGCCGGGCCTGTGTTGATGAAATGCTGCCCACTGGAGGCCGGGACGGCCCGCGGGAGGTGACCTTTGGCGGCCGTCTGGCCGTCTTATCGCCGGCTTGGCCACCGTCTGGTGTTATAGAATGGTGCTAATGTGGCTCCGGTGGAGGATACAGGAGGGGGAGTGGGAGGGAGAAGGTGATAGCACGGCGGGAGGGAAGGGGCGAGCGGTGATAGGGGGTATTGGATGGTATTGGGAGACGTGATAGAATGTGCTGAAAGATACGGTGGAAGTTGTGAAAGACGTGCCAGGGACGCGATGGAAGGGGTTGAAAAGGTCCCAGAGACGTGATGAAACGTACTGGAAGACATGTCTGAATAGAAGGCGGCCTTGGCGTGGAACGCTAAGGTCCGTCAGAAAATGGCGCCCGCATTCTTTGTTGGCGGCGCTAACGGGCTTTCTTTGAAGTTGGTTCTTATTGCAGATTTGTGAGCGTGCTCCGGATTTGATGGGCGCCTGACGCACGTCAGCTGCTTGTTAATAAAGGAAGGAGTAGAGGGGATGGGAGGGGAGGAATGGAGGGCGTGACGCACATATTGTGAGAGCCGGAATGTCTTATTGGACTTGTACAGTGAAAAGGCTACTTAAAGGGTGACTCATAAAGTGCGTGATAGCTTTTCGTTAAGCTACGCATCTAAATTCTAAGTGCAGACAAGGAGATAATTTCATGTATATTTCAAGTAGGACAGCGAAACTATTGTCCCTAATAAGCTGAAGTACCCGGATGCCCTTTTCGCTCGATAGTTGCGGTTAGTTTCTGTAACGTGGAAAGGTTCTATGAACTGGGTAATCAATACTGGAAGCAGAAACTTTACCACTCATGCTCGTGCGGGAAGTTGGTGCGGTCTGGTGCGCCTTCAAAAGTGCTTAATGTTCACGTCTTGTTAAACACGCTCCCACTTAAGAATGACCTGAATGGGAAGTGTGGGCACTGTAGTTCTGCAGTTAATGCTTTGCCCATCGCATTATCGTTATTTGTTCTGTGTTGCCATGTACCAATGCAGTGTATTATTATCTAGTATTGAAAAGGCACCACCTCTAATCTCCCCCCCTCGCCTCAGCCGGCAGGAGCGTCGGCCACAAGCTGGACAAGTGCGCCGTCACGGTCTATCCTCCTCTGAACCCGGAGCACGAGGAGCTGACCCTGAACCAGCGACTGCTGGACAGCTTCCAGCTGCGGGCCAAGCTGAACAAGGACGGTCTGGTGGTGTACGGGCCCGGCCAGCCCGACAGCTACCAGGAGGTGGGTCAGAGACGCCGGACAGGGACCGTCGGGGTCAGAGGGAGGACAGTAGGATCGGGGTGGTTTCATCTGGGGTCAGAGGGGAATACGGAAGGGTCGGAGGTGGGTCCGTTTGGTGTCAAAGAGGAAAATGGAAGGGTCGCCGGAGAGCGTGTAGAATAAGAGGGAGGGAAAGAAGGGTTGTGAGCAAGGCGAATCTCATTTTCTGTTAGAAATCTCGCGATGAGTTAAAATAACCGTGCTCGTGTTGATAAGTTTCACGACTCTAGATACTGAAGTGATGAACTTAGTTATCGGTTGAAAAATAATGTGTCGAGTGGGGAGGACAGACCCATCTGACATTAGCTACTCAGGCGGAGGTGTTTGCATTTCACGTTCCACAATCCACATGTACAACCACTGGGACAACTTTCCACAAATGTCATGAATGATTGCAATAAAACACGTCTCTCTTGGCAAACATCCGCCAAACCGATATCATTCCCTCGCAGTGAATATATCTACCGATTTAGCAGCACTGCGCCGGCGTTTCGCGCAATACCACACATGACACTGGCGAGACTGCACTAGTGTCTGGTTTCGGCCTAATGCCAGCCATTAGCTGATGTCCCCCGGGGTCGATTAGGGGGCGGCGGTGACCGTACACGGCCAAGTTCGGAGAATCAGAGGCGTGCCGTCCGTCCACCATCATACAGAGGTCGTTTGTGCAGAGCCGTCAGAGTTGTGCGGTGTAATGGTGTTTGCCGCCGCATAGGTGTATTTGATCGGGGGCCTAATGATAGCGATCTTTTCTTACTCGGCGGTGATCTGGGCCTCGTTTCATAAAGCGACTCCGTAACTTACGCCGGTTTTGGGTCTTGTATTGCAAGTGCATATGAAGCGATGACGATAGTTTGAACCGTTGAATTTATTTATCTTGCAAGCAAGAACAGAAGGGAGAACGGTAAATAAATTTATCTCTTCACATGCACTTGCAATACAAGACCAAAAACCGGCGTAAGTTACGGACTCGCTTTATGAAACGAGGCCCTGGACTTTGATTTATGTTTCCCGACGTTTCCTCATAGTATGTGAGTCATTTTTGCTTTGTGTATAAATCAACCTGTTCCTGGCGCTAATGTAATTTTTGTTATATTTGCGCCACATTTAATATTATGTAATTAGGTATGCACTTACTGATATCAGGCGGCTGATTACCTAGGAGCGTCTTGTAGCCAATTTCAGCATGGGGAACTCCTAAACGATATGAAGTCGAATGTCGATGAAAACTCCAAAGGTTCTTTCTTTCCAACTGCACGTTTATAACGGATCGCTCTCGCTCCCGGCAGGCGCTGCGTTTCGTGCAGTACACCAACCGCAAACCAGCCTACTACCTGAACCGCGCCTTCAAGCTGCTCTGCTCGAGCATGAGCCAGCGGTTCATCAGTAACGAGTACGTGCAGACGCTGACGGTGATCCACCCGGCGCGACGCACCGAGCCGCCCAAACGGCTGGCCACGGCCGCCCCTCCGGCCGCCCAGGACCAGGAGCCCGCCGCCGCCGCCGCCGCCCCCGCCCAGCCGGAGGTCGAGGAGGCGGTGCCGCCGCCGGCCGCTCATGTCCAGGACGCCCGTCACCACGTGCAGCTCAAATCGTGGACCACCGGCCATCAGATGCGCTCGGCTGGAGCCAGTGAGTGATAAGGAGGGAAGAAGGGGATGGGAGAGAGAGCAAGGAGGAGACGAGATAGAAGACGTGGAACTGTAGTGAACTGAACTTAATAGATATGGATCAAATGGTTGTATGGCGCTGTTTTTTTTTAATTTTAGCCGTTTTAGTCAGCTTTCTAATGCATTGACCTGCTCACTTCCTCCGTCATGCAAAATATTGGCATTAACAGTTATATCACGCATTAACAAAAAGAGATGTGCAGTCGATAAAGTACAGTAGCACGAATAACGAGACGTTGTTTTGCTAAACTCATCATTAATTTCTCTTGATTGTGCGAATTATCCAAGGTAAACAGCTGACCATTGTCCCCCCCCCCTCCCCTCCGCGCAGGCCACGCGGTGACCATCATCATCGTGGTGTGTATCGGCTTCCTGGTGTCGATGATCGTGCTGGGCGTGATTCGGATCCGCGCCGCCCACCGGCGACACCAGGACGAGGCAGCTGACGCCGAGATGGCCTGGGACGACTCGGCGCTCAACATCACTGTCAACCCCATGGAGGAGGTGAGAGAGGGACGGAGAGAGAGAGAGAGAGAGAGGGGGAGGGAGGGAGGGGCTTAACATCAATGTCAACCCCATGGAGGAGGTGAGAGGGACGGAGCGAGGGAGGGAGGGGAAGGAAAGAAAGGGTAGAGTGTTAGAGGGAGTAGGGAGGAAAGGGCGTTCAGTACCCGTCACATTACACGAGTGCCGAGTGCGATTAAATATCAAGGCAAGAGTGTGAAAAGAGGTGGTGATGAACTTTGCCATGCTGTTTTATTACCCCATATATGTACAAGATTTCAAAAACGTGTCCCGTTTTTTTTTTTTTTAATGGGCAATATTTGCTTTCGAATAAGAGGCAATGGCAATTGCTACAGCTTTTTTGATGGAAGATGTGATCCATCTTCAAAGGAATTTTATTTTATTTGGTTAAATCTGCTTGATTAAATAAAGGAAGTTGCCCTGGTGAAAATCGAGTGGCTGGATTCTGTGGATGTTCAAGATAATGCCTAATCACGCAAGAGACGTACTAAAGGTTTTCCTAACTCACGGCAGCATTCAGTTTTACAAAAAGTCCCGCCCATCTCCTCCCCTTTTTCCCGTGCCCGGCGCGGTTCACCGGTCGCTCAGAGCTGAGGGCTTCATCGCCACGGCGTGGCTGCGGCCGGCGGCGGCCGAGTTTAATTTCTGTGCCGCCGCCGCCGCCGCCAGAGGCTGCGAGCCTGATTGAACTACGGCTCCGGTCCTAATTTGTGGCCTCTGTGGGAAGGGCCCGCCGCCACCCTCGGGCGCTGGCCATATTGAAACGTGGCCTGCCTCACAAACAGCGGAGAGGGGGGGGGGGCGTGAGTGGTGGGGAGGGAGGAGGGGCGTGGGGAGGGTACTATGGAGATGGATCTGGGTGGGCCGGGAAGCTGAGAAAGAGCTCCAGTCCGGCCGGTTCCTTTTTGTTTGAATTATTTTTATCGCGTGCTGGGCACGCCAGTCGGTATATGTCTTCGATGTTGGGGCAAGCAATTACGCATAACATGAGGTCGTGCGTACTCTCCTGTGCATTCTCGCGTACTCTCCCGCGCGTGTCGAGGCCTGTGTGGTCCTCTGTTGCTCTCCCTGACCGTCCCCCCCCCCCCACCCCGCCGTCGCAGGATGCCGCCACTGCCGGACAGCCTGCCGCCGTCGACGACGACAGCTCCGACGACGGCAGCGACTACGACAGCTCGGACCCGGACGACGACGAGGAGGAGGTGCCGCCGCCGCGCAAACAGCTCGAGTGGGATAACAGTCACCTGGCCATCTGAGCGGCGCCGGCGCCTGTGTGATAGCCGCCGCCCCCGCCTCCGCCCCCGCCGGCTCTGCGGAGCCGCGCTGCCCGCCTCCGTGAGTCCACCATCCTTGCTACTAAAGCCTCGTGGCGCTGGAGCGGTGTCATGTCCTCAGACTTATCCACTGCTGGTTCTCCTTTCACCTCACATTATCTCTCCCTGTATCCCTCTTGCTGTCTCTCTTGCTGCTCCTGTCGCCACCGCCGCCGCTACTGCTATCGCGGTTGACGCTGCCTGTAGCAATGCTTATATAGTTGCAGAAGCTGAGTCGCCGGGAATTGAGTGCCATACACTGTAGAGTAGATACACAGCGTGGGGCGCGTCTCGAGGGCCGGTCCCTCGGTCGTCCGCCGCACGTCGGGCTGGCCGGGGCGGTGGGCGGTGCTGATGGCAGCGGGCGGGGGCGGTGGGCGGGGGCGGTAGAAGGCGCGCTCTAACCCACTTCTAGTCCGCCGGAGGTCTGTGCTGACAGGCCCCCTTCCCGGCCGCAATAACCACCCTGTCCGGACCACAATGGACGCTGTGTCCACTCTGGCGCTTCTGTCAAACTGTCTGCTCGAGACATCTCCTTTCTATCCTCTGAATCTCATTCGTCCTTAGTGCTCCATTTATGCTTATTTCCTTTCATTTCATATCTTCCTTCGCCTTATATCACCTTTCACTTGACCATATTTTCTGTCATCCGTCTTGTCCTATCCACCCTTGCTCTCTTTTATCCGTTTTACCCCGCTGACGGGCCCGGGATGGGTTGTCTGCTCTCTTCCTCTCTCCTCTCCCTCCCTTCCCCGGAGAGGTCTGCCGGCCTCCGCCGGCGCCTCCTCCCTGTGTTGGCAGCTGCTCTGTGACTGACGTGTGGTGATGCGAGTGACGGCGAGTGAGAGCGCCGGCCGCCGCCGTTTCGAGTGCCTCTCGCCTGCCGATGGCACCCCGGCACCCCTGGCTGCAGCTGGGGCCGACCTGGCACCGCCGGCTCCGGAGCACCTCACACGGCCCGGCCTGGCTCGGCAGAGTGTGAGGCACCGCGCCGCCGCGCTCTGGGACACACGACAGGGGCGGTGGGTATATGTGCGGGTGCGTGTGTGTGACGTGGCGTGGACTGTTGGGGGTGGGAAGAGTGACCGGATATCGGGCCCGGCGCCCGGCCGGTCCGCTCGTAATCAGCGTCGGACGACTGGGGTCGTGTTTGTTGTGGCTAGGTTTTAGCTCTGTTGACCTGCGCAGCGCGACATTCACTCACATATCTTTGGGCACGAGCGGTCACCGTCGGCGGCGTGCCGGAACCAGCGGCGGCGCCAGGAACCATCCGGAACCAGCCGCGACGACCGGAGCCGCGCGGCGGCCGAGAGAGAGGCGCGCGCGCGCGGCCGCTCCGTAACCATATCATGGCGCCGGCGCGAGCCGGAACGTGACGTCACTGTAGCCATCTCGGTGTTTGTCTGATTAACATTCCATCTCGCATCGCGCGGTGTGCGACTGACGGGCGCGGCGGCCGAGCCGCCGGACTGACGGGTGACGTCATCGGCGACCGGAGGTGACGTCATCGACGCCCCAGAGCGCGCCGCGGTGTGTTCTGTTGTGAAAAAAATATCCAGTGTTATAATCTCTATCCGTTAAGAGCTGTCGCACCGATAGGTTTAGAGCTGTAAACGCCGAGTCTTTTGTAATGTAGATCACCAATACATTCTGTCACCACCAATGTGCGTGTTGATTGCGAGAACATTGAAGGTAGCCGACACCCGAAGGACCTTTGAAGTGTGTGTGCGATTACAGCTAATAGGAATGCGACAACCGTTAATCTGCAATCAGCAATGGCCTTTCTTGGGCCCCACGCCTGCTTCTCGATGCACCTGCCCCCCCCCCCCCCGGCTGGCCTCTGAGGGTCCCATCATGGCTACTGGAGGCCCCATGACGGCCTGCGAGGACCCCACGCAGGTTCGACGGCCTGGACAGACCACACTTAAACACTCTCACGACGTCATCTGAGGGCCCCACACTGGTTCTTGGGGGCCCATACCGGCTCCTCGAGATACCATAACTTCTCCATGGATCCTCGCCGGCATTCGAGGCCCCAAAGGCCTAAACATCCATGCTGTTTCTCTGTAGATTATGCCATTGTGCTTTTACCGCCAGTGACGCGCTCCCCTGTCGTGTAACGCTACCGCCATCAGCCGCGACCCGTCCGTACTACCGTCCTGTCATTGAGGCTGTCATGCGGGACAGCCTACCTTCAGGCGCTTGAGACGCCTGCCATCTAGCGGCAGGAGTGCAAGCTTTTGTCCGGCTCGGTTTGCTTACCTCGCATACGTATGTATACGGATGCTTAGGTATGGAAACAGTCTACCATATAAAAAATCTACCAGGATTAAATCCACCGGTAGCTAGGGTTCTTATGGCTTAGTGAATAGGGCGGTAGACTTGTACGTCAGCAATCCGAGCTCGATTCTTCGATCTAGCCTCGCGTCGTTTTCGTTCTTTTGACAAACGAATCGGTCCCTGGCCTAACTCATTTGTAACTCGCCCCTGACAGCACACGCCTTCACATGGCACACACGTTGTTATGATTTTATTGGGCATTTCGGATTAGTTCTCGGCACTCTATCGATCGCACATTTTATACGACACCACACAACGGTCTCAAGACAGCGACACGAAGCGACCAGTCGGTCGCTGCCAGTCCTCGCGAACACACATGACTGGCACACCAACACAGTAGACAGGTCGTCAATTACGAAACGCGTCAATCAGCTAGCCAAATCCGAAACGCGCCCGTTGACGATAAGGTGCGCGAAAACGCAGCTTGATTCCACATTAAGTGGAAGGGCGCTAGCATGGGCATCCGCTCTGCTAGTTAGGAGAGCCGGCTTCAGATAAATCGAAGCTGTGATCAAATATAAAACACTAAATGATAATGACATATAAAATGATGAATGTGAACTTACAAGTAATAATACTTAGCCGAGATTCTAAAGGCCTCCAAGGAACTTGAGTTCGAAAAATGAATACAAGAAGTCATGACATAAAAAATGAAAAATTCCCCGAGCAATTTTCAGCAATTATTGTCGAAATTTTGTGCTTCAAGTTACCTGGGACGGGAACACCTAAAAGCAGAGCGATGGTCTCATGTTATTCCCAAATCCACAAGCATAATCGGACATGCCTCATTGCTATGGTGATCGATCAATGCTGTCAAAATTTATCAATGTCAGTCACCAAGGCATACGGCTCAAAAGCACACGGGTCCACCATTTATCAGTCAGACTGGGAGTTCGATCATTTTCTCCACACAAACACTGCGGTACACACACACACACACACACACACATACAAACAGGCCGCTGGCCGCCGGAGCAGCATCGAATCGGCTCCCACCCGACTGCCCCAGGTTAATATCACAGTATTACAACGCGTCAGTCGCACAACAGCGCCTCACTGCCATCTGTCGGGCGACCATGCAACTAGCGACCTGTGGGGCCGCCCGGCTTCTCCCCACGCTGGGGAGCAAGGAACATGACTGGGCATTTGAAGGGGGATAGAAGTAGAGGGGTAGCTCAACCTCGGGATGCGATGCCGCCCGAAGAATGGTCAGAACTCAATCTGTCATTTAAGCATAACCAGAGGTCAGAGCTCAGCTGGATCTAGAGTCTCAACTGGAGTCCTGGATTTCCTGAACCCATCGGGAGGTCATTCGAGGTCTGGATGAGGCTCACGGGATGCTTGACCACTGATGACCGATATACATGGATCGCTGGTATTTCGCCGTTTGTGACCGGACCGTACCACCGTTCGGCCACCGAGGTAACCCACGCAGCCGATTTGTTAGGGGGGTGAGCGCCGGTGGAGTTACTGGAACGACGACTCGTTACGGGGAACGGCGACCGAATCAGAGGAGCACGCGCAGGCAATGTGAACAGGGGAGGATGAAAATGACAGATGACGGTGTAATGTATAAAAGGTTTTACGAGAGTCATCTAGCTGCCAAAACATACTAACTAGACTGCATAATGCTAATCATACAACACTAAGCGATGGTTTAAGCACACTCAAACCTGCGCGACTGAGGGGCGGCGTGGGCAGTGGCAGTTGTGTCCGCCCTCACTGGCGGCCACCAGAGGACGCCGGGACGACTCAGTCACCAGTTAGCAGCGCCCCGCAGCGCTCCTCCGGCTGGGTTAGCGCCGATCCAGGCCCTGCCCACCAGTCCGCACAAGGCACGCGTCTGCAGAACCGTCTCACGCCTCGCCACTGTGCAGCGTCCCTTCCGTCCTGCAAGCTCGCACGTGCCTTCACAGACACATATTTGGCACATACTGCCGATGGCACAACTGGCTTCGAGCACCAGCACACGGCGGCCGCTGCCCGGCCCGTCACCGCGGCGCTTTGGACGGCTCACTGTAGATGGCAGCACCTGCGCTCGAATAGATGTCGCTCGCCAACAGCGGCTCGCGTCTAGCGGCTGATGTTGGACTTGAGCGTCGGGTCTGGCCGCCGGCGTTTGAAGAAGCCCAGCTTCCAGAGGATGAGGCAGATGATTGCCAGAAGCAGGAGTCCGGCCAGCACGGAGACGACGATCACCCAGATGGGTACGCCGCCGTCCTCGGCCTTGGCCGGCACCGCCGGGTACGCTATCGTCTCCGCCTGCGGGAGCACGGCACACAGTCAGACGGGGAGCGTATTGGCAGACATCGAACGAGACTAACAACACTTAGCTGAAAGGGCATTAGAGCGTTCAGAGCTGCTTACGGCTCGAGCCATCAGCTTTTAAGCAGGCGGCAAAACATATCTTTTATTTGGAGTGAGTGCGCGTGGGTTTGGTGTTATTAGTGTGTACGAGTATGTGTGGGTGTGGGTGTGTTGCTGCGCCAGACAATTGCTATGTTATGCCTTGTACCATTTTGACTCCCCCAACCGTTTTATTGATTGACAATGGACACGTAATAGCCACTCTGCTGTGGTGTGTCTGCTGAAGTGAATACAGGAATACAAGCTCAATGTTCCTCTGTCCTATCTCCATACGACTATCGCACCTCTCATCCGCCCTTTCTTCTCGCGCCAATGCAGAACACTACACCCACCACTCTCCATCCTTCCATCTCCCATATTCCTCCGTCCACCTACCATGGAGACATCATCGGAGACATCCTGCAGCTGCTCCAGGGTGGGGTCCATCTGCAGCGTGGCGCGCGACTTGATAGACACGTACGAGACGCGGTCATAGTCCTCGACCAGAGTGTGGTTCCAGATGCGGCCCTGGATGTGCACCAGCGCGTACTGGTTCGGCTTCAGGCTGTTGATGCGGCACCGGAACTGAACACACTTGGCTGTGTTGCGCGCGCAGTCCTGAGGGAAGGGTGGTGGAGGGTTAGATCGGCGTGGTGGAGTTCAGACAGCGAATAATTAGTTATATCAATAGTGAAGCACAGTACAGAATGTGAGAATCCCGCTCTCGCATGTCTTGCATGGGACGGCAAGTTTATTAATAGCCGCAAAATTTATCTATCATATCCAGCCATCACGAGGCAGCTGCTCAAAGAGCATTTTGAAATGTTACTATCTCTTCCACAGCGTAATTAAACTATCATAAATCAACGACCTAGCCATATAATTGCAATTTGAGGTGAGGCAGACCCTCCCCCTTCCTCCCGCCTCCCGCCCCGCCGCGGTACTCACAAAGAACACCACCTGCTGCACCTCTCCGGACGGCGACGTCACCGCCTCGGGCATCACCACCATCTCGCGCTCGCGGCGCCTCCTGACGCCGACATCGCGCCGCGTGCGCCGGTCCTCCTCGGTGGTCAGCTCGCGCTCGAAGCCGTCGCCGCCGTCCAGGTCGCGGTGAGCCTGGTAGGTGCGCCGCGTGCCGTCGCCCAGGTCCTCCACCCTCTCGACGCCTCCCTGGACGCGGCGCGAGCTGAGCTCGTCCCGGCGCGTGGCCAGGTCGACGGGACCCAGTCCGTCAGCGGGCAGCGGCCGGCGCGACTCGTACTGGCGCCGATAGGTGTACGACTGGTTGCCGCCGGTGGCGCCGCCAATCGGCCGGCGGCGGCGGTAGTAGCCGCGCCGGCGGCCGCCAGGGCGGCGCGCGCGGCCGCCGGTGGCGCCCTGGTAGGTGGAGCCCTCGTACTCCGACTCGTACTCGGAGCCGTCCTCGTACTGTCGCCGCAGTCCGCCGCCGGTGCGCGCGTCACCGCCGGCGCCCAGAGCGCCCTCATACCGCCCGCCGCCCGACTGGCTGTCGAAGGAGTTGGTGCGGAATCCCTGGCCGGCGCCGTAGCGCCGCTCCAGCTCGTCGCTACTGCTGCCGCTATAGCTGCCGCCGTAGCTGCCTCCGGTGGTGGAGCCGGCGCTGCCGCTACTGGAGCTGCTGGTCTGGTACCCTCGCCGGTCCACTGTGGCCGATACCTGCCCGCCCGACTGACCCGAACCGTAGCGTTTCTCGGAGAACGATCCGCCCTGATAGCGCCTGTCAGTGGCACCGCCCTGGTACCGGCTGTCGTATCCGCCATCACCAGTCCCCGCACCGGCACCAGCACCACCCGTGTAGCGCCGCTCCGTGTAGCCGTACCGCCGGGTGGTGTAGTCATCCTCTGTGTCCCCCGCCACCGTGCCGTACGGCCGGCGTCGATAGGCGTCCTCCTGCTTCCGCCTGCGATCATCGATGGCATTCAGACCGCTACCGTAGTCGGTCTTCCGAACGGT